GTAGCCCTACAAGAGTGATTACTGATAAACTGTCTGAAAAAAAGAAAGTCAAGTTTTAGAGAAGAAAAAAATCACCTACTGACTTTCAAAGCTGCTACATAGTAACGACTTTCTACTTCGAGGACCTTGATAGAAATGTAGTGGAGTGAAAAGTACAATATTTGTCTTTCAAATGGAGTGAAGTTAAAGTCGTAAGTTCCCAGAAAAAATAATACTCAAGTAAAGTACAGATACTCAAAAAGTGTACTTAAGTACAATACTCAAGTACATGTACTTAGTTACTGTCCGCCTCTGGGTGTGCATGAGCTCATGTAGAGTGTCTGTAATGAGCCGATTTCGTGTATGAATATAGAAGCCCTATGACTACAACTACCATAATTTGAATTGTCATAAAATTATGAAATTATCGTACATTATGGGATTTTTTTCATTATTGATCGTACATCGTAAAGAGGTCAAAATTATCGTACAAATACAATAATTATCGTACGTCTGGCAACACTGAGACTAAGTCTAAGCCTTTTTTTTTGGACACTACTTGTTTCAGAACGTTCAGAGAACGTTCAAAAGTAGCATTCCTGTAATGTTTGCAAAATTATAAAATGGAATGTTCCTTTAACGTTTGTATATAACCATGAAAAAACGATTCAAAACGATTATGAACGTTTAGAGAACATTCAAAAAATAACGTTTTCATACCTCACTGGGAAAGTTAGCACAATGTTCTTAGAAATTATTTTGTTAGCTGGGTACAATCTGGCAGTACATTAAAAGCAGACTACACATACAACAAAAAGAAAAAATCAGAAAGTGAAAAGGTAAAATAGCTAAATTTTGCAGGATTTTTAGTAGCCTACTTTAGTAAGTTAAATAAATGGTGTTTTAAATATTTCAAATAATTTGATAATTCTTTGTATTTTTATAATCTTACTTATATTTATAAAAGTACAATTTTTAATGTAATTCAAAATAACAACAACAACAACAAAAGTTATTTTAGAGAAGGCCAGAACATCTGTCGTCTCCACCCCAGGAGTGATACGTCAGCGAACCCTCGCTATGGAAACCAAATTGCGGGACGTAAACAATGAACAGGTTTCTCTTACTGCCAGTGATTTAGACATTTATTTTTTTAGGGTGAACGAGAAAGACATTCACTTTATTAAACTGTAAATCCTCATATGCACTGATGTCTTCCTTAACGCAAAATAAAAACGATATATGTCGTTTTAACGATCTGTCAGATACCTTCTTGTTGCTGTATCTCGTTTAAACATTTTTCGTATATTCCTCAATATGTGCATGGCTTGTTTTAGATGGAAGTGTTACCGGAGGTGGATTGTGAAGAGGACGTTACTATAACAGATGATGAAGAGAGAGCGCGGGACCTGGAGAGCAGCCTGTCTAACATACGAATAACCCCTACAGCTGCACACATGTGAGGTTACTAAAGTTCGTCAACATGTGGTAAACTCATGTGTTCATGTTAAAGCAATGATCAGCGTTTCTCCATAGGAGTTCCTCTCACATGCACAAGCTGGATGTTTACATTAGCCACAAACATCAGGTCATGCGCTTGTAGGGTAACAGACTAAGGTCAAACATCTTAACTCTATACCTTAACAAAACTATAGGGTACATAGTGCATGAAGATAGAGGGTACTTAAAACCCATCATGGCCTCATTATATAGTGCGCTGTATTGTATCTCTACAAGAATGAATCTCATGAAGACTGTCAATAACACGTCCAGGTCAGGGTTATTATATATACTTAACTAAAACTAAAATCATTAAATAATAATAATAATAATAATCCCTTAATTAAAAACAAGCAAAAAAATGTTAAATGAAATAAAGTAAAATATAAAAATCTTAAACCTTTTTTATTTCAGCTATTTGCCATAGCAACATTTCTCATTTTCAATAAGGTAATAAAGTAATTAAAACTAAAACTGAAATAAAAAAATGAATAAAAACTACATAAACAAAAAGTAATAAAAATGACAAAAACACTACAAAAATGACAACACAACAAAATGTAACTGAAATTACTAAACATTAAATAAACTAAAATAAAACAAACATAATATAAAAAATAAAAATAATTCAAAATATTGATCAAATCTATATTATCTCAGTGATACTAAAATAACACTGGCCCAGGTCATTTTCAGAAATTAAAGGGAAAAAAATAAGAAGTTGTACTTTTCATCAAATACATACATACATACATACATACTCTCATTCTTATTTTCTTAGTTTTTATTTTGTAATAAAGTAATGCTAGTCATCCTGTCTGCACTTCTTCACAATTACTATTATTCTATTTTATTATTTAAATCAGCATAAGTTTGAAATCATGATGTAATATAATACATTTTTATTGCATTATGTTAATTATGGGATTTTTTTTTTTACAAATATCATGAAAATAACATAGCAATACAAATCTTAATGGACCTAAACTCATTCATTATTTAATATTTAATGTCATATTTTAATATAATTGAAGATATACATTCGTAAAGCAAATAATGCAAGTAAATGCTACAATTATTGTTCATTAAACATTAAAACGGGTCTTGGAAACATATTACAAATATCATATGTTATATCAAATGTTGCAATGCAAATGATTTCCTATTTAAATTAGTATTTGAATATATGCATGTAATGCAAATAATTTTAAGTCAAAATGTTCCTTAAACATTAAAACATGGGTCCCATAACAGACTACACATACAAAAGTACAAAAGATTATTAATCATCTTTCTGTTTGTTGGTCTTTATTCTTTATTTCTTCAGTGCAAAGCCAACACTTCAAGTGGACCTTTCCAAATGTCCATCCTCATACAAGGAGAACTCTGCACAGGAGAAGCTCATGTTAGCGATGGCTGAAGACTTCCGTCAGCAGTATGCGCTCTTGTACCCGGATCACAAAGCGCTTCTGCTGTGCCCTGTGAATGAGTGTTCAGGTGCATACAGCAAATACGCTTTCCAGACATGGCAACATTACCACAAATGTATTGAATACTCTATTTCATTACATTTTCTTACTCCAGTGTATTTCTACAGAAAGTTGTGATGCGAGAGCTGTACAACTGGGAGGGACGTGCCAGTTTTGTGGCTGATTATTTCTCATTGGAGCTCTTGGATCCACCATTTGAACTTGTGAGAATCTGACTCGACTCGTGATTGTTGTTTTTGCATCTTGGATTCAAAAACATGTTTTTATTTCATATCTGTTCTTTCTAGCCCAAGCAGCTGTCATCGCCCACCTGGGTTTTGCAGACTCAGAGAGGCACATGTTTTGATTTCTCCATCGTGCTGTGTAAACCTGTTGTTGGGCGCAGGATACAACGCTTACTGCGTCAGTGGCTACGCTACAAAAGAGATGTGTCTTCTTGATCAGTCACGACAAGAGTGTCCCCTACTGCAGCCTCAAATCCAAGTAAGCACAATTTACAGTACACACATTTAGATTTAAACTATAGAGTTAAAATAATAAAATATTTCACATTGCATTGTTCTTTTATGGTTTGTAAATTTAAACAAATTAACTCAGTTTGCTTGATCATTTATATGTGATCACTTTAAAACAGGGGTCTTCAATGTTTTTCAGGTCATGAATCCTATAGATAGACAGAGTAGGAAATTAATATACAGTAACTAAATTGAATATAAATATTTATTATAATTATTTATGAATTTATCAATTGCTATAATTTATGTAGTTTATTAGTAAGTAAATAAACAAATATATAAATTGAGATTTGTATTTTAAGCCTGGCCTATGACATGTAAATAGTATCATAAAAATAATATTTTTCTATGCTTTATGGTGCTTAAATTGCAAATCTATTAATAAATTAATTTATAAATTATTC